CTCAAAAAAGCTCAGTTTGCATTTTGCCTGGATTGTTGCGTCACATGTAAAAATTCAGTCAGTTTTTAAGTCAATAAAAACATCAGTGGATTTGCTTTGGGTCAAACTGTGTTCAAAACAAACTCTGGTCTATTAACAAAACTCTATTAGCACAGCGTTCACAGGAGATAAAGACTTAATTTGTTTATTTTCCCACTGGCTCTTGTTAATTACGTTAAATGAAGTTTACTAAAAAAAAAAAAAAAAAAGGGCCCATATGACACTATTTTCTGATCTATGTTACAATAATGTAGTTTCCTCGTCACAAACAGACCTGGAGTTGTGTTTTTTGTTTCATTTAACACACAAACCTGCACATTTAGGCTGAATTCTTCTCTCAGACTGAAAACAGGAAGTGCTCCACTGTGTTTTTACATGCCATACGCCTTTACTAGAATCATGCGGATAATTTCAGTCCTGGAATTGCCCATTTCTACTGAACCTAAAGTAAAAAAGGTTCACAGCAAAACCTGGAAGGTTAAAATTCCAGGTGTAAAATATTTTATAGTTGTTTTTAACACAAAAAGTGTTATTTTAACTATTAGAAAATTAAATGGGGGTTCGAGTTGGGGTTATTTGCCAAAGTTGATACGGTTACAGTTAATTCAACTTCTATTAGTGTTAATTCAACTTCTCTTCGTGTTAATTCAACTTCCACTAGTGTTAATTCAACTTCCTCTAGTGTTAATTTAAATGGTAAAATGGTATATATAGCAGCTTTTCCACCTTCAAGGCTCAAAGCTCTTCACAACAAGGAACCACTCACACATTCATACACCAGTGCACACAGACACTGTGGGCAAGGTGGGTTAAGTGTCTTGCCCAAGGACACAACGACAGCATTCATCTGTGGGAGCTGGAATCACACCAGCCAACCTGATGTTTGATGTTGAGAGCGGGATTCGAACCGCCAACCTTCAGATCAGTGGGCGAATGCTCCACCAACTGAACTACTGCCGCGCAATTTAACTTCACTTGGTGTTGTATAGAGGATTTTCCAAGGAACGAGAAATCCAGCGACTGTTTGTCCTTTTTCAAATGTTGCGCATGAGTGAAACCAACTCCCCTCCCCCACAGCTCCTACGTAGAAACACCTCCTCCCTCCTCCTCCTTACGCCACAAACAGGTTTGTTTACAGCCGCTGCACATGACTTGTAAACAACTAACTACAGTGTTGGTTAGACAAGACGGAGAAGTGAGGAGCGGGGGGAGGGGGGCACGGACATTTCGTGCGCGGACGAGAAGTGAGGAGCAGGGAGAAGAGCGGAGCAGGGAGAGGAGAGGGGAGAGGAGAGGGGAGCGGGTGCGTGGAGATTCTGTGCTCGGAGAAGTGAGGAGCAGGGGGAAGAGTGGATCGGGCAGCGGGGAGAGGAGCAGGAAAGGGGAGCAGAGAAGGTTGCGCGGAGATTCAGTGCAAATGAACTAACTACAACACGCAGCAGCAAGCGGACTCTTTCTTTGCCTTGAAAATTACGTTTTCAGACATAGGATATCGCTTTTGAAAAACGTTTGTGTAACTCTTGGAAATAAAGTACGTTTTCATAATAAGCAGAAGTTTCCTGTCCAGGAGTAATTTGTGGACCAGTGCTTCAGTCTTTAGACCCTGCGTCTGCTTCAGTTGCGCCATCGCTGGAATGAATCTTCAAGAATCACCTTAGTTTGGCTTCGCTGCTTTTCCCCTTGTCTTCTTCTTTCATCGACCTCAAAAATGGACTTTCTTTTGCGGCGAACTGCTCCTGGATTCTTGTCGCCATCGCAACAAACTTTGTGCGAACTGCGAGGAAGATATAGGTAAAAAAAAGCCACTAAGAACTGTTGCGTTGGTGGAGTAAACAGCGTCTGTGCGTCTTGCGTCTGTGGACTGCGTGACAGTCGTACGTAAACCACGTACCGGCGGCGCAGGCAAGTCAGTTACACTAGAAACGTAGGGAGTTTGATTGACAGCCTGTCAGCTCACAGATAACGAGGCAGTGTCGTTATCTATTGGCAAATGTTTAGCCCCACCACGTCCAGAGTTGATGAATTTTTATTCTCTTTTTTTTGGTCATCATAATTACAAGGCTACTGCATCTATAATCTATCACTGACAATTTGAAACAAAAAAAATCCTCCATACAACCTTTAATTCACCTTCTTCTAGTGTTACTTCAACTTCTCCTAGAGTTTATTCAACTTCCTCTAGTGTTAATTTGGCTCCTCCCACCACCACTTCAAACTCCTGCCAGATAAGACCAGTTTGAACCAGTTTTGTTCATAATTTCATCTTAAATTAACTCAAATAAAGTGTAAAAACAAAACACCTCTGTGTGTTGTTTAGTTAAATCAGGATAACTCTACAAAGTGTTATCCGTTTACTCTCAAAACGTTAATTTAACTCTTGATTTTTGGGGTTAAACGGGAACTTCGCTCCAGTGTGACTTAATTAACATTTCCAAAAAGTAGAACAGATCGGACTGGTATAAACCCTGGGAAAACGTTAAAAAATTTTCTGTGAGAGTCGATTTTAACACTCCACTTTTTGCGGTGTAGCAGTTAACTTGAAAACTCCCACTACGTGACATCACAAGGTGGAACAGAGCATTTGGAGCATTGGAGATGTAGACAGACGAATATTAAAGGATGGTATAGATATTTTTTTGGAGGAGGTAACAGCTTAACTCTTTCCCCCATGAAGACGACATTTGACGACCCCCTGTTTCCTTAATGACGTGTTTTGACTCGTCCGCTGTTTCACTAAAGACGTGATTTGACGACCTTTAGAAACGGCTCGGTTTTTCACATTTAAACAGAGTCTGCGACAGGTCGGGGCCACTACAACCCACACCAGACTGACCAATAGGATTCAAGGAGATGTTTTCGCAGGTTTTTTCCGAAGTTAATCAAAGTAGTGATGATGGTAGCTTCCGGAAAAAACACAACACGAAACACGAGCAATGGAAAGATCACGGCGCACAGTTTTAGAAATAATGAAGAGAAAGTGACTTTTATAGATTTCAAAGTGGTGATGAAGTTGATCATAAAGTGGAAAACAGCGACAGCGACGAACTTTCAGAGAGTGAATCTTACGAAGGTGAGAATGCAGCTGATGCGTCTGTATTGAGTCCTGCGATGTCCGAACAAACTATCCAGGCTTTATACTTAATTAAGAACCAAAACTGCCCTGAAATCTGGATGTTGCTCAGGCGAGTCCTTTAAAATATTTCAGTCTTTTTTTTCAAGATGCAGAATCACTACAGTAAAAACGCTTATGCGGAGCTTTGCGCACGAGAAAGTGACCAAGATGACAAATACTGGACACACACTGACGGGGAAGAGTTTTATTATTATATTATTATATTATAATAAGCTGAATTAGTTGAATAAGTTAAATGGAAAAAATGAATTAGGTGCACACAGGTGAACAACAGGTAAAAACAGGTGCACACTTGGCTCTACTGTATCTGGTGATATGAAATCTGTTTAAATACTTTGACAAATATATTTTTAACATTTTTTTAATGAATACAGGACTCAGAACATGCAGATATCAGATGCTGAATATAGTTTTTTGTTTTCGGTTTTGCACCTGAGCAGGTAAACTCTCATTTTCAGTGAGCTGTTATACACCTGTAAATGAGTTGAATCACATTTAAACATCCAGAAATGAAGAGTTCAGAGTCTGAAGTTTCCAGAGACACAAATATGTCTGTGTTTCAATTAAGTTCATGAGTGTGAAAATCATTTATAATCACTCGTGGAAGTTTGTTTTCTTTTATGCAGTTGTGCTCTAAGGGTAGAACTAGTAACATATGTCTGGGTTGTTCCTAGTCGGGGTCCAGGGGGGAAAGAGTTAAAGTTTGTATGGAGGATTTTTTTTGTTTCAAGTTGTCAGTGATAGATTATAAAGATGCAGTCGCCTTGTAATTATGATGACCAAAAAAAAGAGAATAAAAATTCATCAACTCTGGACGTAGTGGGGCTAAACATTTGCCAATAGATAAAGACACTGCCTCGTTATCTGTGAGCTGACAGGCTGTCAATCAATCTCCCTACGTTTATAGCATAACTGACTTGCCTGCGCTGCCGGTACGTGGTTTACGTACGACTGTCACACAGTCCACAGACGCAAGACGCACAGACGCTGTTTACTCCACCAACGCAACAGTTCTTAGAGGCTTTTTTTTACCTATATCTTCCTCGCAGTTTGCACAAAGTTTGTTGCGATGGCGACAAGAATCCAGGAGCAGTTCGCCGCAAAAGAAAGTCCGTTTTTGAGGTCGCTGAAAGAAGAAGACAAGGGGAAAAGCAGCGAAGCCAAACTAAGGTGATTCTTGAAGATTCATTCCAGCGATGGCGCGACTGAAGCAGACGAAGGGTCTAAAGACTGAGCACTGGTCCACAAATTACTCCTGGACAGGAAACTTCTGCTTATTATGAAAACGTACTTTATTTCCAAGAGTTGGACAAACGTTTTTCAGGACACGAAAGCGATATCCTATGTCTGAAAACGTCATTTTCAGTGCAAAGAAAGAGTCCGCTTGCTGCTGCGTGTTGTAGCTAGTTCATTCGCACTGAATCTCCGCGCAACCTTCTCTGCACCCCTTTCCTGCTCCTCTCCCCGCTGCCCGATCCGCTCTTCCCCCTGCTCCTCACTTCTCCGGGCACGGAATCTCCTCTCCCTGCTCCCTGCTCCTCACTTCTCCGTCTTGTCTAACCAACACTGTAGTTAGTTGTTTACAAGTCATGTGCAGCGGCTGTAAACAAACCTGTTTGTGGCGTAAGGAGGAGGAGGGAGGAGGTGTTTCTACGTAGGAGCTGTAGGGGAGGGGGGTTGGTTTCACACATGCGCAACATTTGAAAAAGGACAAACAGTGGCTGGATTTCTCCTTCCTTGGAAAATCCTCTGTACAACCTTTAAAGAGTTAAAGAGCGACGTGACTCTCTGAAGCCCTGAGGTGCGTGTGGTGTGTTTGTGTCCAGACCTTCGTCCTGCTCCTCTTCCTCGGTGGGAGACGTCGGCTGGAGTTTGTCGTCGTTGCTCCTGTCGGCCTCCCTCTGCAGACTCACCACCTCGAACACGGCGTCGCTCTGACCCTGCTGCTCCTGCTGCGAAACAAGACAGAAAGACCAGGACGCGTGAGGACAAGGACCAGGGATTTAATATGAAACTTCAACTGAGCGATGCAACAAGTTAAAGCTGCACTGTGTAACTTTTCTAGTGGAAGGTTCGTCAAATGTTTTTCTCCATGTCCTCGTTTAGTCTTGGTTTAGTGTTGTTTAGAACTCGTTTAGACCTGGTTCAGACCTGGTTCAGTCCTGGTTTAGTCCTGGTTCAGTCCTGGTTTAGACCTGGTTTAGTCCTAGTTCAGTCCTGGTTTCAGACCTGGTTTCCAGTCCTGGTTCAGTCCTGGTTTAGACCTGGTTTATTCCTGGTTCAGACCTGGTTCAGTCCTGGGTTAGTCCTGGTTCAGTCCTGGGTTAGTCCTGGTTCAGTCCTGGTTCAGTCCTGGTTTAGACCTGGTTTATTCCTGGTTTAGACCTGGTTTAGTCCTGGTTCAGTCCTGGTTTAGTCCTGGTTTACCTGGTTTATTCCTGGTTCAGTCCTGGTTCAGTCCTGGTTTAGACCTGGGTTAGTCCTGGGTTAGTCCTGGTTCAGTCCTGGTTTAGACCTGGTTCAGTCCTGGTTTAGACCGGGTTTAGTCCTGGTTCAGTCCTGGTTTAGATTCCGATGATCTAATCTGTAACGGGGAGAGTCGCTTCTGAACTCGATTCCTCTGAAACAAACGCGGCGTCTCGGGGAGGAAGACATCGCTTAGAATAATAAAAAAGATTCTAATCGGACACCTGACGATAAATAAAAAAGGAAAATAAAACCGACGTGCAGCTTGTAATCCTTCCAACGAGACGGTTTAGTTTAGTTTAGTGATATTTACGAGCGGGACGAGATGCAGTTTCACCAAGACGAGACGCGAGATCAGATCTACGAGAACGACATTATTTGACGTTATTTAGGCTGTAATAAAAACATGGTGCAGTCCAGTTCAGAGTCCTCCACCGGTTCACTTTTGGTTTCACTTTCTTCAGCGCGAACACGAACTCACAGACGCGACTCGACCGTCAAAACTTCACAGGTTTTATTTACTGAACAGAAGAAACACTGATCGAGATGCCGGACTGAACCAGGACTGAACCAGGACTGAACCAGGACTGAACCAGGACTAACCAGGACTAAACCAGGACTGAACCAGGACTGAACCAGGACTGAACCAGGACTGAACCAGGACTGAACCAGGACTAAACCGGGACTGAACCGGGACTGAACCGGGACTGAACCGGGACTGAACCGGGACTGAACCAGGACTGAACCGGGACTGAACCGGGACTGAACGGGACTGAACCGGGTTTAAACCAGGTCTAAACCAGGACTGAACCAGGACTAACCCAGGACTGAACCAGGACTGAACCAGGACTGAACCAGGACTGAACCAGGACTGAACCGGGACTGAACCAGGTTTAAACCAGGTCTAAACCAGGACTGAACCAGGACTAACCCAGGACTGAACCAGGACTGAACCAGGACTGAACCAGGACTAACCCTGGACTGAACAAGGACTAAACCAGGACTAAACCAGGACTGAACCAGGACTGAACCAGGACTGAACCAGGACTGAACCAGGACTAAACCAGGTCTAAACCAGGACTGAACCAGGACTGAACCAGGACTGAACCAGGACTGAACCAGGACTGAACCAGGACTAAACCAGGTCTAAACCAGGACTGAACCAGGACTGAACCAGGACTGAACCAGGACTGAACCGGGACTGAACCGGGACTGAACCGGGACTGAACCGGGACTGAACCGGGACTGAACCGGGACTAAACCGGGACTGAGGACACCAGGACTAAACCAGGACTAAACCAGGACTGAACCAGGACTGAACCAGGACTGAACCAGGACTGAAACCAGGACTGAACCAGGACTGAACCCAGGACTAAACCAGGACTAAACCAGGACTAGGACTGAACCAGGACTGAACCAGGACTGAACCAGGACTGAACCAGGACTGAACCAGGACTAAACCAGGACTGAACCAGGACTGAACCAGGACTAAACCAGGACTGAACCAGGACTAACCCAGGACTGAACCAGGACTGAACCAGGACTGAACCAGGACTGACCAGGACTGAACCAGGACTGAACCAGGACTAACCCAGGACTAAACCAGGACTAAACCAGGACTGAACCAGGACTAAACCAGGACTGAACCAGGACTGAACCAGGACTAAACCAGGACTGAACCAGGACTAACCCAGGACTGAACCAGGACTGAACCAGGACTAAACCAGGACTAACCCAGGACTGAACCAGGACTGAACCAGGACTGAACCAGGACTGAACCAGGACTGAACCAGGACTAGGACTAACCCAGGACTAACCCAGGACTGAACCGGACTGAACCAGGACTGAACCAGGACTGACTAACCAGGACTAACCAGGACTGAACCAGGACTGAACCAGGACTGAACCAGGACTGAACCAGGACTGAACCAGGACTAACCCAGGACTGAACCAGGACTGAACCAGGACTGACTGAACCAGGACTAACCCAGGACTAACCCAGGACTAACCCAGGACTGAACCAGGACTAATTCTAGGACTGAACCAGGACTGAACCAGGACTGAACCAGGACTAAACCAGGACTAACCCAGGACTGAACCAGGACTGAACCAGGACTGAACAGGACTGAACCAGGACTAACCAGGACTGAACCGGGACTGAACCAGGACTGAACCAGGACTGAACCAGGACTGAACCAGGACTGAAAACCCAGGACTGAACCAGGACTAACCAGGGGACTGAACCAGGAACTGAACCAGGACTGAACCAGGACTGAACCAGGACTAACCCAGGACTGAACCAGGACTAAACCAGGACTAACCCAGGACTAACCCAGGACTGAACCAGGACTGAACCAGGACTGAACCAGGAACTGAACCAGGACTAAACCAGGACTAAACTGAACCAGGACTGAACCAGGACTAAACCAGGACTGAACCAGGACTGAACCAGGACTGAACCAGGACTGAACCAGGACTGAACCAGGACTGAAACCAGGACTAAACCAGGACTAAACCAGGACTAAACCAGGACTGAACCAGGATTGAACCAGGACTAAACCAGGACTGAACCAGGACTGAACCAGGACTAAACCAGGACTGAACCAGGACTAAACCAGGACTAAACCAGGACTGAACCAGGACTGAACCAGGACTAATCCAGGTCTGAACCAGGACTAAACCAGGACTAAACCAGGACTAACCAGGACTGAACCAGGACTAACCCAGGACTGAACCAGGACTGAACCAGGACTAAACCAGGACTGAACCAGGACTAACCAACCCAGGACTGAACCAGGACTGAACCAGGACTAACCCAGGACTAACCCAGGACTGAACCAGGACTGAACCAGGACTAACCCAGGACTGAACCAGGACTGAACAGGACTAACCAGGACTGACTGAACCAGGACTGAACCAGGACTGAACCAGGACTAACCCAGGACTAACCCAGGACTGAACCAGGACTGAACCAGGACTGAACCAGGACTGATTCCAGGACTAACCCAGGACTGAACCAGGACTGAACCAGGACTAAACCAGGACTGAACCAGGACTAACCCAGGACTAACCCAGGACTGAACCAGGACTGAACCAGGACTGAACCAGGACTAACCCAGGACTAACCCAGGACTAACCCAGGACTGAACCAGGACTAATTCTAGGACTGAACCAGGACTGAACCAGGACTGAACCAGGACTAACCCAGGACTAACCCAGGACTGAACCAGGACTGAACCAGGACTGAACCAGGACTGAACCAGGACTAACCCAGGACTGAACCAGGACTGAACCAGGACTGAACCAGGACTGAACCAGGACTGAACCAGGACTAACCCAGGACTGGACTAACCCAGGACTGAACCAGGACTGAACCAGGACTGACTAACCAGGACTAACCAGGACTGAACCAGGACTGAACCAGGACTAACCCAGGACTAACCCAGGACTGAACCAGGACTGAACCAGGACTGAACCAGGACTGAACCAGGACTAAACCAGGACTAACCAGGACTAACCCAGGACTAACCCAGGACTGAACCAGGACTGAACCAGGACTAACCCAGGACTAACCCAGGACTAACCCAGGACTGAACCAGGACTGAACCAGGACTGAACCAGAACTGAACCAGGACTAACCCAGGACTGAACCAGGACTAACCCAGGACTGAACCAGGACTGAACCAGGACTAACCCAGGACTAACCCAGGACTGAACCAGGACTGAACCAGGACTGAACCAGGACTAACCAGGACTAACCCAGGACTGAACCAGGACTGAACCAGGACTGAACCAGGACTGAACCAGGACTGAACCAGGACTAACCCAGGACTGAACCAGGACTAACCCAGGACTAACCCAGGACTGAACCAGGACTGAACCAGAACTGAACTAGGACTAACCCAGGACTAATTCTAGGACTGAACCAGGACTGAACCAGGACTGATTCCAGGACTGATTCCAGGACTGAACCAGGATTGAACCAGGACTATACTAGACAGTCTTGAAGGCGCATGGACTTAGTCTTATCTCGGTCTTGAAGGCGCATGGACTCGGTCTTGTCTCGGTCTTGAAGGCACTTGGTTTCGATCTTGTCTTGGTCTTGAAGGAGTTTGGACTCGGTCTTGTCTCGGTCTTGAAGGCGCTTGGACTCGGTCTTGTCTCGGTCTTGAAGGTGCTTGGACTCGGTCTTGTCTCGGTCTTGAAGGCGCTTGGACTCGGTCTTGTCTCGGTCTTGTCTCGGTCTTGTCTCGGTCTTGAAGGCACTTGGACTTGGTCTTGTCTCGGTCTTGAAGGAGCTTGGACTCGGTCTTGTCTCGGTCTTGAAGGTGCTTGGACTTGGTCTTGTCTCGGTCTTGAAGGAGCTTGGACTCGGTCTTGTCTCGGTCTTGAAGGTGCTTGGACTCGGTCTTGTCTCGGTCTTGAAGGTGCTTGGACTCGGTCTTGTCTCGGTCTTGAAGGTGCTTGACTCGGTCTTGTCTCT